CAATTTTTCTCGTTCTTTCTTTGGAGCACGTATAAAAATTGTGTTCTACATTAATAAATGAGTTATAACTTATATGTAAAGACGCAAATAATTTTCTTTCACAGTACAATATATAAATAGTAACTTTTTTCTTTTTATCTTGCACGATTATAATATCTGTCATTACGTACTATTGTTTATTTATTTATAAAAAGAATAATTACTGTTCTATAAATTTTTTTTCATTTGACTTGAATTATATAATACATATAATTTTATTCTGACCACTTTTTTCAACTAAATATTTAAAACAAAGAATGAATTCTTTTAGATACACAAAAAAAAATGTCACGTCGGCAATTAATTTTTCTCTATTTATTTATCTTATTTACTGGTATTTTTGCTCAAAAATATGATCCTAACCCTGAACATGATGATGAAGATGAACCTCGATCAATAAATCGAATACAATCATCAATTAATAGTGAAAGAAAACTTTTTTTAAACAATAGAGGTAATAATAATGATAATCAACAACAATCAGTTGTTGGCCAATCACGAGTACGTTCATCAATTGAAACAAATCGGCGATCATCATCATCGACACCACTTGCTAGTAGTAATGAATGTAAATTTGATGTGCAAAAATATTGTAATAAAGGAAGTCAACAATTACTTTCAAATTTAAAAGTGTTAGAATGTATTGATGATCTTGATAATGTAAGTTTTGTTTTTATATTGAAATAAATTATCTATACATATATTTATTTATTTATTTATTTTATAAATATAGGCTGTGAATTTAATTAGTAAAGAATGTCAACATGTAAGTCAAATATTTCTTTGTTTTTTTTTGCTTTTTGTATTAATTAATTTTATTTTTAGCTTATCTATAAATTTAAATATAATATGACACTTGATCCACATTTTGATGATACAGCTGAAAGACAATGTTCAAAAGATTTAAAAGTATTTGATGAATGTAAAGAACTTATTGGTAAACGTGGTTCTGGTCGTCTTGTAACATGTTTATATGAATTTTTACCTAATATAACTGAGTCATCTTGTCGTTATTTTATTAAACAAATGCAAGCTATTATTTTCAATGATTGGCGTTTAATAGAATATTTTCCTGATGCATGTATGGACAATATTAAAAATTTAGAATGTGGTCGATTAGATGATGAAAATGAAGCTGTGTGTATTTAATGAAAATTTAAAAAAAGAAAAAAAAAATTTTTTTCTTTTTGTATCTTTTAGATACCACATGAACCAGGTGCTGTTATTTCATGTTTATCACAAAAATATAATAAATTAGGTCAACAATGTCGAAAAGAAATTTTTCGCTTAGCTGAAATGCAATCGGATGATTATCATCTTGATCGTGCTTTATATTATGCATGTCGTGATGATCGAGAACGTTTATGTGCACAAGTTTCAAGTGGTAATGGCCGAGTTTATCGTTGTCTTTATGATCAAAAATTTAATAGTATGATGTCACCAGCTGTAAGTTATTAAGATTAAAATAAAATCCCTTAATCTATAAATTTTAATAGTAGACAGATAATTTAGTCGATTAGGTTGTCTTACTGTAATAACCCATGTGATGTAAACAACATATGTTCTATCATTCACCAGTAGAACGAGCAAAAAAATGATGTTATGATAAATAATCATGGAATATTGCAGTACTCGTGCATATTTAAACGAAAAAAAAACGTAACATTAGATGACAGTAAGAGACCTTGGTGTAATAAGTTGGTGATATTAAACTATGTCAATATGTGTTGAGTTACTTGTGATTAAAAAAAACTTGTTGGAAAGAAAAACAAAATGTTACGTTGCGATTGCAACTACAAACCTTCTAATAATGAGCGATTTTAGTCAATCGTGATGATGTCCAAATTAGAAAGGTTTTAGCTAGACTTTATCTTCCGAAAGACCGAAAACTTATTTTTAGGAGCGTAGAAACATAATATGTGATACAGTAACTGCAATATTCGAAGGGGCAGCCACCTCCTACGCTAAATGAAATCTCGCTTCACAATAGAAGACCTCGGATCTTCTATTATGTCTCAATAATTTTCATAATTTTTAATTAAATGGGTTTTCGAAAGAAGTAAAACTGGTTTCAGGATATGGGAAGAGAATTTGAAGAATCTATGAATAATGCGGATCTCAGTCGTTTTAGTTCAATATCCTGAAAACTAGGCATATTTTAATGTAAATACCCCAAGGAGAGGATTCTATTGCAAGGACAGGTTTACTTTTAAATGATATGTATCTCAGTTCAGTGATACAACCACTATTTTGTGTCTCTCTAATCTCATTAAGAGTTTCACTGCTTAAATAATTTAATGGATAACGTTTTAGAAAACAAAAAAAAAGAATTAACATTTTCGATTATGTTTATTAGTTTTAATTAAATATTTGAAAGTAGAATCGAATTATATTCATAGAAAATGCGAATATAAGTTTCATAGTGATTTTTGATCCCACAACGAGATCTGTATAGGTTAGAGTAGAGGAAGACCTCCCCTATCTAATAGTTTATGTATTATCAAGTTTTATTGCGTACCACTAAGATGTTAATAGAAAACGTCACTTCCATCGCTTGCGATAAAAGTCATGATGAAAGCGGTACCTAGAGCCCTTTTGGACCCGAACCTAACGGGCTCTCGTGATGCTCTCTGTCGAAGTATCAAGAGTTAAAACCATATAATTGTCTTTATTTGATGCAGATGTAAAGCTAATAAGAAATGTTCTATATCTGACCATGAATACGGAATTTCTTCGCTCATTCAAGATAACATCAAACCTTGTTTTTTATTTTTACTTGAATAAATAATTACGATTGTTTATTTTAGTGTCGTAAAGAAGTTCATCGACGACAATCATTAGTAGTTGCAGATGTAAAACTGGATGTACCATTAACTCGAGGTAAAAAAAACAATCTAATGTTTTGAATTAAAAAACAAAACATAACTATTATCGTTTTTTTAAAAAGAACATGGATGGGTAGAATGCTTATAACTTTTGAAAGGAAACAGCTGGAGAGCTGCGATTTTTGAGCATTCGAAAGAGGACAATGGGGGACACAGATCTATGTAAAAATGAAAAATTTTTCTTGGTGCTTTCCAGGCTAACCCTAGCGAAGCAAAGTTGAGAAAATAGGCAGTTTACTAAAAAAAAACTTTTTTTTAGTTTTTTTTCGACAGTCTAGGCCTATAAACAGTTTTCTTTATCTAACAACGCAAAAAGGAAGTCTCTGTCGCTTTCCATTCTCGAGATAGAGACATTTTTCCAGAAGCTATCGAACAGAAAAAATTCTCTGTAGGAAAAAGAAAAAGATGTTGATTGATAGGTTTTTGAACATGCTGATCATCGAGACGATGTTTATTTTATGTTGAAGCAACTTTACCTAACCTAAATTTTGATGATCAACTGTTCGGAAATTTGAATTTTGTTCGATCTGAGGTAGAGTAACGCTAAATCCGTGTTTTTCCATGATTATTGTATAGTTTTTACCTTATTTTTTGCTAGAATACGTGCTAATTCAAAAAGAAACAGCTTAGCTTTGTAAGTTGTTTAGCCAGAATTCATCTAAAAATCAGTTGTTCCTTTTTTGCTAGCTGAACAGTCTTCATTTGTGACTGTCACATCTTGTGATTCCATTAAGAAAGAAAACGGAATATGAATATATTCAGTTTTTTTAATACATTGAATGTGGGTGTATAGTTTTGGTATTGCAGTCAATCAAACACATCCATACCTACACACCCTCAACATCATTATTTTCATCTCATACAAAAAGTTGAAAAGATATTTCAAAATGCCGATGAATACGCTGAGCGAGTAATTGAGTTAGAATTAAAAGATGAAAGTATTAAATCAGATACCACAGACGAAGAAGAATGGTAGTGTTTTCTAACAGGTTAGCTTTGCATTTTTCTGAAAAGTTATTTTTTATAAATAAATAAAAGATTACAAGCTCTTTTCAAGTAATTTGTCAGGACAGAGCGTCATAAAAGTGAAGAGGTGTTTCAAGTGCTGAATTCTAACTTTTTACTGTTTCGAAACATTTACATTAAAACCGTCATTGGACATTGTCATCAAAGTTTGGGTTAGATAAAGTTGTTTAAACATAAAATAAACATCGCCTCGATGATCAGCATTTTCAAAAACCTATCAATCAACATCTTTTTCTTTTTCCTACAGAGAATTTTTTCTGTTCGATAGCTTCTGGAAAAATGTCTCTATCTCGAGAATAGAAAGCGATAGAGACTTGCTTTTTGCGTTGTTAGATAAAGAAGACTATTTATAGGCCTAGCCTGTCGAAAAAAAAACTAAAAAGAAGTTTTTTTTGGGTAAACTGCCTATTTTCTCAATTTTGCTTCGCTAGGATTAGCCTGGAAAGTACCGAGAAAAATTTTTCATTTTTACATGGATCTGTGTCCCCCATTGCTCTCTTTCGAATGCTCAAAAATCGCAGCTCTCCAGCTGTTTTCTTTAAAAGGTGATAAGCATTCTATCCACGCATGTTCTTTTTAAAAGACAGTAATAATCAACATTTTTATTTAATTGTCTTTTTTTTAGCATGTCGTAATGAAATGCTTGAACATAAATGCGTTATTGATCCTGTAGAAGGTGATCAAAAATCATCATTAGTTAAATTACTTTTATGTCTTGAAGATACATTAAAACGCGGTAGAAATTCAACGATGAATTTCTTACAAAAAAAAACCTATTTCTAATTCTAATCTTAGGTTATCATATACAAGATGAATGCAGACGTGAAATGCTTGTTCATCGTCGTATGTTAATGTCTGATTATGAACTTTCACCCGAACTTCAATCTGAATGTAAAATGGAAATGGTACAATATTGTCCATCGTTATTTCAACAAGGTGTTAGTGGTACAACAGATCAACGTGGTGGTCGAATGATTCATTGTTTATTAGCTGCTGCACGAAAAGAAAAAGCTTTTGGTAAACGATGTTCATCGGTTGTTAATTCATTAGTACGTGCAGTTGATCCCGGTAGTGATATACGAGCAGATCCATTACTTGAAACAGCATGTCGACCTGTTATTGATACATTATGTCCAAGAATGAAACCTGGTGATTCCAATGTAATTTTATGTTTATTGGATAATTTAAAAAATATTCGTATGACAGAAGATTGTGAAGATCGTCTTATGGAAGTGGCTTATTTTTTGGCACGAGATTGGAGGTAATAAAGAAAAAAAAACGAACAAGAATTCGATTAATTTGTGATTTTTGTTTTATATGATAGATTAATACCAAGATTATTACCTACATGTCAAAAAAATCTTGAAAGTTTTTGTCAATTACCAAAAGATTGGTCAATGAATCAAGAAATAAATGGTCTTCAAGTTGGAATGTATTTAGGTTGTTTATATCAACAACGACAACAAGTATTAAAAACAAAAAAAACCAAGAAATTTTTTAATTATATTTACATCTTTTATTATTTAGCTTGATAAAGAGTGTCGAAGTGAATTAAAACGTATTATGCATATTCGAACACAAGCTATTGGTTTAATGCCTGAAATTGAAGATAATTGTTTGACAGATTTGGCAACTTGTAAAAATCCAGAAATTAAAGGAGAAGTAAGAAAATATTTCAATCAAAATATAAAGATATATAGTAAAACTTCTCTAATGTAAGCAGTTTAGGTTCAGTATAACAAAGCGATCATATTAGAGAGAAAGTCAAGCAAAAATATAAGTTTTATTACCATCTGTGTTCCTTAAAGTACTTAATATTTTATTAAATAACTTTAACCATCATCATTAATGATTCGACTAAGATTATCTTTTCAATTCTATTTCAATTTTAAAATTTTGTTGGAAGAACTCAAGGATGTTCAGTAATAGAAGTTTTACTGTACTATCTCTCTTTCATAATAATCTTTCAGCACATCTTTACATAGAACAGCACGTCGTGAGGATGAGGACGCTGTGATTAAAGTGTAAATGTAGCATTTTATTTTCCGGAGAGACGATTTAAAATTTCAAGAAGGCGAACATCTATTTTTTGAAGTATAGACATATAGTGTGTGTTGAATTGCTTATAATCAGCTCTTATCTATATGAGTTGTACAAACCGTACTATTTACTTTTGCATAACAGATTTTTATAAACTT